TAGCATAGGAATTACACTGATCTTAGCATAGGAATTACACTGATTTTAGCATAGAAATATTACACTGATCTTGTGTGTTTTGAACAAAAAAAATGAGTGCAAATAACTAATCTATTGTATGTTCACAGCAATTTATTCACATGTAACTGAAAACAGTTAAACAACAATCAAATGGAGTGTTTTTTGTTTCTGATAGCTGCAAGTGCTCTTTGGTGAAGCTATATCTCTTAAAATGTGATGATTTATATAATAACTACGTATTCGATGAACTTTTTTCTTATTTTTACAGGCATAAAGGCTTCATGAAAGATTGTCCTGATGGGAAATTAACCCTATTGGTAAGTTTTATTTCTGTCTATTATATCCTATTTGAAAACTACGATTTTAACACGATATGTCCTCTTTGTTGCCAACACGATAAACAATTTTCTATAATTGCCTGGGTATTGAGAAATGTGCATTAAATTGATGTTAAGTGAATTAGGTTTGTTCTGGTTTTAATTACATCAATTTTTATCATAACACAATTAGAATTTCTAGAATACATAGCAATTTTAACAGGCCTGGTATTTGGTTTTTATGTAAACAACGTAATGTGAATAGTTATCAATCGAATTGCCCAGAAAATTACATTAATGGAAAGAAAATTATATCTCATTGGTTTTTTAATTAGGGTTTTCAGGAAACCTCTATTATCTATTGTCTTGTTGGTTTCTTGAAGAACTATTTTTAGATTCTTATCAGGTTAATTTGTAAAGCGATCTATATGTTATAATGATCTCAAAAATTCCTAAGAAAATGATTTATTTTCTGAGACATTTTCTTTTATGTCATTGATTTTTTTGTATATTTCCTGATATAGTTTTTGATTTTGATTAACAGGGGTTAGTCAACAAGTTTGTGTTGATTGGAATTTAATCAAAAGATTGATTGATATTGATTGAATTTGATTGAAATTGTTGTTTATCATATTTCCATAGTTTTATGTTCCATAAAAGTTAAAACCATAAAATTATGCCCTTATGATTGTTTCATTGAATTTTTCTATAAAAAGAAACAGACACTGTAATTAATGGATATGGGAGTCTAGATATTTCCATTACCAGCTGAGGTAGCTGTGTTTAGCTATCCTTATCACATATCAGAATTCAAAACCATTGTTTTAGGGAGCCCATACAATTAAATGAAAATATAGTTTGGAAGTGGAGATTTTTGTTACCTCAAGCCAATATGAATTTTTCCCACATGTAGTAATTTGTGATGTCAATAAGAAAATGTTAAAAATGGACAGGAACTTTTGCAGCCAATAAGGCGTTCGTTACTGTTGAAAGGGTTAAAGTAAAAACTGACATATGCTCATCAAAATCTAAACACCTGAGATTTAGTGAAGTCTGACACATACTTAGTGATGGTTAATTAGTCCTGCATAATTCCTGTGATTGAGGTGCATTTTTGACAGGATGAGGGAAATGTCAGGAGATGCTTGACAATCCCCACTTCCTGCTCAGTAGTACTTTTCTCCCACTGAATTCTGCTTCTTTACATCTTGCATGAATGCTCAAAGCTTCATTGAACTCTACTTAACATAATGGTTGTTGCCTGTGATGAGTTTGCTTCAATGAAGCAATTCAGAATCTTGATAAGATCTTTGCTTCCTCAACTGACCCCTTCACTCATCTAGTGATAACACTTTCGACTTATATTCAGCTGTAAGCTATGCCTTAAGCACCAAGCATAATAACTCAATGATAGAAATTTAAAACTTGTGGGGCAAAATCTGGGCCAGCCTTATTACTGGAAGGGCCCCCCACCCCCCATAGCTACTGTGAAGTTTTATTGTTCATATATACCTTTAAAAAAAGAAGAAGATGTCAATGGTTTCACTACATGGAAGTAATTAAAAAAGTATGTAATTGCTGATATTGAGTAAGTAAGATACTGTAAAGATAGAAATGTAAGGTATATATCATGTTAACAAACACGATAATGATGAAAACATTATTAAAAAAACTGTTTATATTTATCTTTTATATGTTAATGATCTGTTGCAGACACACTTCATATTTTATTACAAGATATTGATGAAATATGAAATCCTGTGTAATGTACACCATTATTATATTCAATTTTTGCACGCCAACATATTCCAGATGTTTTTCCACTTTATTCATCTATCAAGTGATATTATGAATGCAATATTTCTTGTAAGAAATTTGTACATGTTTTTACATCCTATTTTGCTTTCAAGTTACATCTATATATGCAATATATAAAATTCTTGTTATAAAAGATTAGGTGTTTTTTGCTCCATTTCCATCGTTTGAATCATTATTGCAATAAATCTTGTTAAAATAGTTTTTGCTCGTTTGATTTTTAAAATTTGTAAATTGTAATTTCCTGGACTATTGAATATGAAAATATCATGATTTAATGTAGAATAAAATTAGATTACTTCAAGTCTTATAACGAGATGTAGAAATTCTTATGGAGAATACAAGATTCCTTATACGTGTCATGCGGATGCGTCATGCGGACATAAATGACCCTTGCGGATCCGTCATGCATCAGATATGATTCCACATGTGTGTTAAACATATGCGTTATCTTTCTTTATGTTGATTTCCGCATGACGGAGATCATTTGACGGATACCGCTTCCGGATATATGGAATCATAACCTCTTAAACCAACCATTTCGATTTTTAACGCATGACGGATCCGCATGATGCGTATATGGAATCTTAGCTTTAAACATCCATCAAAGAGATGTGTTTCAGTTTTGGAATATATCGACTTTTCAGATGGTTCATAGGTTCATTCTACTTGATAATATCCCTTAAAAATCACTGTATTTAGGGTATCACAGAGTAACAGTAATAGGTAGCAGTAAATTAAAGCAGACTTTTTTGAAAAACTTCCAAATTTTGTTAATTTTGGCAAATATTTTTAAATGAGTATCGACTGTTAACTGACAATTTAAACTGGCACTTGGCACCACTGATACTAATAGATTTATTTTTCTGTTTCTGAGGTGATAAATCTGAAATAACTAGTGGTAACAGTGAAGTTTGTTTGTCATGCTGTGTTATAAAATGGCCTAGTAGTTAAATATTTCTTTTATAATTTATCTTGTGTAGTTCTTGATATCTTTAAGTATATCATTATGTCTGTTTTTTTAAGCTGAAAGAAGAATTGATTGTCTTACATTCATAATATTTCAAAGAATTAAACCTAGTTAGAATATGAACCTAGTATTATTTAAATCTTTATTTCTGGGTATTTTTGATTTTTATGTAATTATAAGCTATTTGATAGTGAGAAAACTAGTAGCAAAAATAGTCTGATAACATTGATTTGAATATAAAAATTGGTATACAGTTTATCAAGGAACAAGATGACATTTTCAAAAGTAAATTCCCTGCACAACTTCTCAAAAAAGGTTTTCATTTTCCAAACAGTAAGCAAGCATGACCAGTCTCATTTCTGGGAAGGAAAAGGATGGTTCCTTTGTAGAAATGTCACTGTTTATTAAGTTGATAAATTTAATTGATTTGTGGGGTGCAAGGGCTGGTAGGTGAGCTTGTATTAGATTGATTTACTGATATTTATCACTGCTTCATACTATATATACTCTCTATAATTAAAGATCACTTTCTTCTACAATCTTCATCCACTTTGTCTTTAGTTTGTTGAAATTTAATAACTAATCAAAAGTACCAATTAGTTGTGACTCAGAACATATAAGCATATTAATCTGAATATTAATTTACCCATTTACAGTTTGGTTGATTGGAATGATTGATGTCTCGCTGACTCATTGATGTCACTGTAATTCATTAGACAATCTGCCAATGTCATAGGATGACATGCTGGCATATGACTGACAGATGACATTCAGTTCTTCAGAAGGAAAACCAGACACCTTGTGACAATTCTGACTAATCAGCACATTACCTATCGTTTCATATAAATTTCTATGTTTCAGTCTGTTGGTTCAAGTGAATGTTTTTCTTGTCATTTCCCAACTAAAATAGTTTCCATAGATCATTACAATATATCACCATTTGATTTTAAAGACTGTAATATTATAGCTTATATATAATATAATATAATATAATATAATATAATATAATATAATATAATATAATATAATATAATATAATATAATATAATATTATAGATATAATATAATATAATATATATTTTGTATTTTATCAGCTATAGAACTAAATTTGTGCAATAAGTATTAGACAGTAATGAGAACGTAGTCTCATAAAAGCACTGGCTTAGGTCACAAATTATTGACTCATGTTAAAATAAGGTGCAATAGTTTAGAAATAAGTATCACTCTTTAAAAAAGAGGATGTTAATGAATGTCATGGAGACTTACAGATTTTTACAATTGTCAAGATAGACTGAATGTTGAATTTTCTTTCAATAAAGATAAATAAGGTCTGATTAAACGAGGTAGAGTGATTTTTTTTTTTTCAAATTTCTTTTTAGTTGATAATTGTGGTTCTGATGCCACACCAGACAGCACAATTAGATGTCGAAGCACATTCTTAGACAACCATTCCCCTGTTTAAATAAGCTTAAATTTTGAGGGGGCTAAATATTGGTTAATAGAATTGTTTTGCTTGAACAGATTTTTATTGGAAGAGTGGAAATGTTGATTATAAAATAATGACTGTAGATATTGTAATATATTATATCACCACCATTGAATGATATATCTAACTATTACATGACAGACATTATCTTTTACAAACTAAGATGACAATTTCACACTGTTTTAATGTCTGCAATTTCAGAGAAAAAAAAATTATCTAGGAAATGTGTCTTAGTAGGTTGATGATGTTAACAGATGTTATGTTTTTCACTTTCTTAAGAGTCTGGGCCGATGTTCATCAAAAAGATTGATTTCATTTTGAACCCAAATGATTGATTATAGTGTGAGCTAGGTTTGGACAGTTGTTCACCAGACAGTTGTTCACCAGACAGTTACTCACTGAACCATTGTTCACCAGACAGTTGTTCACCAGACAGTTGCCCACTGAACAGTTGTTCACTGAACAGTTGTTCACCAGACAATTGCTCACTGAACAGTTGTTCACCAGACAGTTGCCCACTGGACAGTTGTTCACTGAACAGTTGTTCACTGAACAGTTGTTCACCAGACAGTTGCCCACTGGACAGTTGTTCACTGAATTTTTTGGTGAACAACTGTCTGGTGAGCAAGCAACTGTATGGTGAGCTAGCAACTGTGTGGTGAACAACTGTCTGGTGAGCACCTGTCTGGTGAGCACCTGTCTGGTGAGCAACTGTCTGGTGAACAACTGTCTGGTGAACACCTGTCCAGTGAACAACTGTCTGGCATTATTCCAGAATACCTAGCTTCTCGTTGGATCTACCACCTGATCCTGTAAAAGCTACTAAAAGTTAAAAGGTTAAAAGGATGAAAAGATATATGGTGCTGTTTGAGTAATGTCAGTATAGATTAGATAAAGATTTAAAAATCATTGAAAGAGATTATTGACGCCTTTTGCAATATTCATTTTCAGTTTTTGACATTTTTCAATGGATTTATAGACTCAAATATTTTTAGAACTTGTATCATTGACCTTAATCCATTTTGATGTGACATTATCTGTCTCTATAGCCCAATCAAAGTGAAAACTCCATTTCCATTTTAGATATGTTATGAATATTATGTTCTTAAATCCCAAAAAGTGCTTCAAAGATCAATTAAGATGAATGTTCGATTTGAAGCTTCAATTAGGATTAAAATCTCTTTTCAATTAATTACATGAAACATTAAAATATGTGCTTAAATTAAAACTCTAAAAGTGCCTCTAAGATCAATTCTCAGTTTTGTATATTGAGCTTTAATCAGACACAATGCAATTACAGTCTAACTGCACAACTAAGGTTATTTACATTTTGCTAGTCTATTAACAATTATGTTGATCAATATCACCCTACTAGGGTGACCCTAGACTGTTTTATTAAAGTGACATGGAGTTAACCTGCACCATGTCACCGTTATCTTTGATGTGGCTTATCTTTCTATTAATATAATGGGATTCTATAGCATAGTCATTATGAGCATTGGTTCTTTGCATGTGGTCATTTACGTGGTTTTGTCTAACAAATGGTGATCTTGGGTTCAAAACTTGGTCAGCATGTGAAGGTCCTCTTCACTCATAAACTGTTCAAACTGCTTGGTTAAATCCCCTAACTCCAGATGTTTATGTTTCTAAGAAGGAATCCAATGTGGGAAAGTGAAAATTAAGTACAAAGTCTGTGATATTTTCTCATCAATCAACCAGTGAAAATTAAATCAGATATATCCACAGCTATGTGTATGTTTGAGAATAAGTAAAATTGGTTCGAGGGAAACCTGCAAGTAACAGATTAAAAACACATCTAGAATAACCTTAATGCTATACTCTTATAATATTAAAGGAAAGAAACCCTTTAGCCCTGAAATAAGAATGACAGTTTGGAACGGTTCTGTACATTATTGTGGTTGACTTGTCCCTTCCCCATTCTTTCAAAACCCCTTTTTTAACATCTGATAACGACACATGTCAATTGTATTAAAAAGTTACATGCTTTGATATTAGTTAGTTATGTTGACAATTTTATTTCTGATTCACATGTGAACATATATTGATTGGTTATAAACAGTGAAGGTGGAAGACATTGTTGATAATGCTGATTTTTCAAATAGATTACAAAAAAGGAAATTGAAAATGTGAAATATATTTTGTCAACTGGTCCTGTACAGATGAATTTAATTATGCTTATTTTGCTAATAAAAATAATTGAAAGTAAAAAAATATTATTTGTCAACTGGTCCATGTTTTATAATTTCAATGTATATATATAAAAAACCTTCTGTAACAATCTTCTAATGGAATGAAGGAGTATTAATAACAACCCCTAGTGACAAGAGATGATGTGATTTCACTGATTCTCTGTGATCACACAACAGACATAATATTACTTATGTATTTCAATTTCGTTTCAATTCAATAAAATGTGGATTGATGTTAGACAGTTGATTTAAAGAGAAAAATATGGCTAAATTAATATTCTTGAAATAGTAGAACTTTGTCTACAAGAGATCCTTAAAATGCTCTTACACATACATGTACATTATTTCACCAAAACCCACATCACATGAACTGTCATTGTAAATAGGGATATTATGATGCATATACATGTATATAGAATTTCTGAGCAACAGACTGGACTCAAGACTTCACTTAAACATTTTCATAGTCGTCATCATGTCCGTTTCTTCTATCATCTCTGAAGTTTTTTAGCTGCTACAAATGTATTGCCAAACTGTTATTTTGAGTTTTGGATCTTCTTATTCAATAGACCAAATAAAAATTCATTCTTCAGTCAGTTACATCTTTCCAGATTTCAACATATAAACGTACTTAACATTGCCTTTAAACTTGGTGGAATGTATAGTTTGGTATTGATCATCATCTGGTAGAAATTTTTTAATCTCACTTTCCAACTCTTAATGATCATTGACAAATTGAAAATAGTAGAAGTTAAACACCAAATAAAGTCGGACTAGACCTTTACAACCATTAATCAAATCAGACAAGTTGACTAATCAAGTTAAGAAGATCACGATGTTTCTCTCTTTTATCTGCAATAATGATGGTAGCATCCATCTTAAATGTGTGTCAATAAACATTGAAAGCCGTTCAGATTAGCACTGTTTGATCCCCTGTTTCTCAATATCTCCATATGATTTATGAATATTCTAATTGAACACAGCACTTCGCCGTTACAAAAGTGTCTAGCCAGTTTCTAAACTAATAAGTTGGGTTATTTAGTTCAGATTACCAATGATACATCAAAGACAGACCAACTAATCTGTCACTTTTAACAGATATAAATAGATACCCTTTCCAGGAATTCAACTACCAAACCAACAACACAGAATCATCCAAATTGAATCATTTCAACTACCAACTACTACGACTACCAACAACTACCTTGTTTGGAAAGACTCACTGGAAGCGAACATAATCCCTTCTCCAGAAATGCCAAAGGGCAGTGGAATATCTACAGCTAGTCTTTGGTCCCCTTATCTTATCATCTTACATAAGAACTGCCAGTGAGTCCATCATGGTGATACTACTGCCCCTACTCGACCCCCTCACCCCACGCACGATACATACAGACATCAGGGTTAAGAGAGTTTATTTAAACTGTTTCCTCGTAACATTGATGTAAGGTTTTACTGTGGCATAGGTCAAAATAGTGCACGAGCACTGTTACCAGTATTCATTGGTCCAATAAGATCTAGAAGTAAGTCATTAAAGCCTACTTTCTTTGAATCAAGTCACATATATTTTCATAAAAAAAACTAGGTATAATTATAAGCCTGTCTACATTATACTTTTCTTCCAAATATCGGTTAAAATATAATTTACAGTTTCAGACATTAAGATCTATTAGGATAGAGGAATATCAACTGTTTTATAGATAGTTTATGATGAGATTGCTTAAAACAGTATCCAAATATGTTATTGATTTACAGTAAATCAAACCATATTATTGTTGGTTAAATGAGTAACCACTCAAATGTAGAATGTCATCTTCAAAATGTCAAGCTATTACCAAATTCATCTTATACATCTTCATCTTATTGCAATAGCAACATTTCTTGTTTCATAGAAGTTTGCAAATGCAGCTATTTGATTTAACTGTATGCAAAAGATTACAGCCAATCAGAGACCTCCACAGAAAGACTGTAATCAATGAGCTAAAATGTGTACAGCTCTCATGTCAATGGCTCTGTATGGCTGTATTGGTTAGCGTAGAATCCTGTCAAATCACTGCACTGCTTGCCAAAATGAAGGTGGCTATTCAGTCAAGGTATAGACAAAGTTAGTAATAGCATGGCATTGTGAAGTTGATAGAATGTAGAACTAGAAGATTTTAACTGAAAACTGCCTGAAACTTTACTTTGAAATAATAATTTTTGCCTCTGTTGACATTTTTAGTAACAGAAAGTCATTGTAAGACTACCATGTCTGTTTTCCAATTCAAAATGAAATAATTGCTAAAAGTCAATTCACCAAAGAGAGTACAAGCAGTAGCTATTGAAAATTCCCAAATAATTCCTGACATTGTATGCTAGTTGAAGGTCATGAAGTTTTGGGATATTTTGATATGATTTCTGAGGATAAAATATTTTATTAACTTGATGTTATAAGAGGCCACTCATGATTTATAATTATTAGCAAGTATTGAATATCTCCTAACTACATTAACTTTTGCCTTTAAACTGAATCAGAACAAAACCTAATTTGGAATTGTAGTATAATTGGAAATCACGTCGCCATCATTTAAGTTTTGGTTTAGCCATTTGATATCAGTAATACTATCTAAGTTCCATGTCAGATCAGAACTTCAGAATCACTTGAGATGACTCTAGAGAGTAACATTGCTTCAGTCAATGTCTTTGTTGCAGCCATTATTCATCAAGAAATATCAGGATTGTATATCTAGACTGAGGAACTTGTCTAGTCTCCTTCTTGTCCATTTGATGATGTATAGTCAATGGTCATTCTACGAGGGGGGGGGGGGAAGGGTGAAACTGGCTTGGCATGGCTTTGTCCCCCTACCTCCC